CTATTATGAAGTTTGCAGCATCCTGTGTGGTTTAATAGTCGTTTATTTCTCCCAGCTTGTGCAATGGTTTTGTAAAGATTTCCAGTTGCAATTCAGGAAGTCGCCCGACTCGACGCGATATAAGTAATTGGTATGCTTCTGAGGGATCTGTGGAACACTGAAAAACGACGTGTCCGACTACGCACGATGAGAATAAAGTGACGAGAATCGGGTTATTGGGGCCTAATATCCGTCCGTTTCTCTTGAATAGTGTTTCCGTCACTGCATACGGTGTGCTGTTAGTTGCTATTAACACTTTGACACTTATGCACTTCTGTTTTTGTTGGACGGGAAGGGTGATTTATGTATTTCTGTATTTTCAAATATTTAAATTTTTATATTTTTGAAGTTTTTATGTTCAATTTTATTATACAGGAGGGAGTGGTTTATATTTTTCTGAATTTTCGAATATCTAAATTTTTATGTTTCTAAATTTTTCAATTCTTAAATTTTCATACTTCTGAATGTTCCAGTTCCCAAATTTTTATATTTCTGAATTTTTCAGTCCTCAAATTTTCACATTTCTGAATTTTGCAGTCCTCAAATTTTTGTATTTCTAAATTTCTATTTCAAGTTCTCAAATTCTCAAACGTAGAAATCCCTAATATAGAAATTTTCAAATTTCCAAATTTTGAAAAACGAAAGCATCAAATAATTACCAAAATTCCATATAGAAATCATGGAATCATAAGTGCCTATAAAACAATTTCAGAACAAGATCCTTCCAAAATGAAATCCCCCTATGTCGATCCTTAATTCCATTATATATTATACAGTTCTAATAGGTGGTACGTAATTAGAACAATAAATAGAAGTTATCGAACAATTCGATCCGGTTGAAAAGTCATTAGAATTGTATGCTATTAGACTGCCTCCTTTAATTGATCACCTGCTTTCTACATCGATAAAAAACAAAGTGTGTATTCCGTGATCACGAGTCGAACAATAGGATCATTAATTAATTCATTTTCTGTTAATTAAGAGCTTCGAACGAATTTCTGTTGCGAATCATCATGATTATTAGAAAACTTGAAGTTATGATCAAACTATTGGGGTTATTGAAAAATTTCATTCATCGATTCTTAATGAAACAATATTTTTAATAAAGTTAGTATTGCACTTTTGTTTTTCAAATTTCTATATTTCCAAATTTCTGCATCCTCAAATTCCTGTATTTGCAAATTCCTACATTTTCAAATTTCTACATCCCCAAATTCCCATATTTACAAATTCCTACATTTTCAAATTTCTACATCCCCAAATTCCTATATTTGCAAATTCCTACACTTTCAAATTTCTACATCCCAAATTCGCATATTTGCAAATTCCTACACTTTCAAATTTCTACATCCCCAAATTCCTATATTTGCAAATTCCTACACTTTCAAATTTCTACATCCCAAATTCGCATATTTGCAAATTCCTACACTTTCAAATTTCTACATCCCCAAATTCCCATATCTGCAAATTCCTACATTTTCAAATTTCTACATCCTCAAATTCCCATATTTGCAAATTACTACATTTTCAAATTCCTACATCCCCAAATTCCCATATTTGCAAATTCCTACAGTTTCAAATTTCTACATCCCCAAATTCCCATATTTTCAAATTTCTACATCTCCAAATCCTTGCATCCCTAAATCTCTATAACCCCAAATTCCTATATTTCCAAATCCCCATATTCCCAAATTGCTTCACCCACAAATCGCTATATCTCCAAATTCCTGCATCTCCAAATCGTTACATCCTCCCTACATCCCTAAACCGGAAAAACTTCAAATTGCTGCGCCCCCAAATTCCTACACCCCCAAATCGTTACGTCTCCAAATCGGTACATCCCCAAATCGTTATGTTGTCAAATTATTATGTTCTCAAATCGGTACGTTCCTAAATTGTTACATCCCCAATTCGGTACATCCCCAAATTCCTACATCCCCAAATCGGTACATCCCCAAATCGTTATGTCCCCAAATCGGTATATTCCCAAATCGCTACGTCCCCAAATAGCTGCGACTCCACTGGGTCAGAATAGAAAAATGGACGCCTCACACGTATTTTCGGCGGTATATTGGCTCTCGCGGTCGCACACCAATTAGGCCAAAAACAATGACAGGCAAACGTCTCGAGAGTGAGATAGAATTGCGTTCAGCAGTTGTTGTCATTATTATTCTTATTTGCCGAAATGTAACTGGAAGTGTTCGGTGGAGCTTCTTTTACTTTGTGTCACGCGCCATATCATGGGTTGACCTAAACATTAGTTATTACACCTAACCATTAATAAAATTGTACTTAAACATTAATAAAATTAGTTGCTTAGGTTGCACAGAATATTACAGGTTTCGTCAACAAAATTAAACGTATTAATCAATTCGCAGAAAAATTGCAAAACATATCGTCTTACCGTCCCCTATAACCGCAAACGGTTCAAGCGGCGTCTCGAATGATCGAAGGTTAATCGAGAAGGTACCAACTTTTGTGACTCACGGCATTATAAAAGAATATGTCGAAATCGTGTTCCCGGTACACGGTATTATACGACAATTACATTTATACGAGGTGTAGAACCGCAAGAAAGAACGAAACCGTGGTAGGAAAGAAATTGCACTTTCGAATGTAATAAATTGCCGATGCGATTTCGTGTTGCGAGCTGTAGGTACACGAAACTGGGGAACACCGTGTGCACATCCTGCACGCGACAACACCTGTCACGCGTGTTGCGTTTCGCGAGCATGTCAGCGATTAACATCTACCTTTGCACGTGTAATTTTCACTCAAGAAAGCTGACGTTTCTCCGCCGTCGGTGCTGTTCCGAGATGCAACATTGTCGCATTTTTTACCCTTGTCTTGAAATTACCCAGTCGTTTCGACACTGTTCATTGCTGGATAAACGATTTATAAATTTATGCGGGTTGGTGAGTTACGGATCCTTCGGGGAAAATAGGGATACAAATGATACAATAAGAGTTTATTGCTGCAAATTACTGGGGATTAGAAGGTGTGTGGATATAAGGGGGGAATGTGTAATGCGGAATTGTCGAAGGTGTGAATGTGAAGTGGAAGGAAAATTAGTGGGTTTTATATAGTTTGAAAGTAGGTAGAATTTTTGGGACTTGGGGATTTGGAAATTTAGGGGTTGGGGATATTAGGGATTTGGGGGATTTGGAATTTGAAAATTTAGGAATTTAGGAATTTGGAATATTAAGGATTTGGGGGATTTGGAATTTGGAAATTCAGGGGTTAGGGATATTAGGGATTTGGGAGTTTAGAAATTTGGGAATTTAGGAATTTGGAATATTAATGATTTGGGAATTTAGAGATTTGGAAACTTAGAAATTTGGAAATTCAAGGGTCTGGGATATTAGGGATGGGAATTTAGAGATTTAGAAATTTAGGAATTTGGAAAATTTGGGGATTTGGGAATTTCAGAGTTTGAGATATTAAGGATTTGGGGATTTAGAGATTTGAGAATTTAGGGGTTGGGGAATTTAGGGATTTTAGAATTTAGAAATTTGGGAATTTAGGAATTTAGGAATTTAGGAATTTAGGAATTTAGGGGTTGGGGATATTAGGGATTTGGGAATGTAGGAATTGATGGATATAGGAATTTGGGATTTTGGAAATTTAGGACTTTGTAAATGTTGGAATTTGTAAATTTGGGAATTTGTAGATTTGGAATTTTGTAAGTTTGTAAATTTGTAAATTTGAAAATTTGTAACTGTATAAATTAAAAAATTTAGAATATCAAAAGAAATTTAAGAACGTGGTAATTTTAACATTGATATGTATTAAAATTAATTTTGTCTCTGTGTATAATACTTCTATTCCTTTAACAGCTTTGAACTTAAGTACAACCTAACCTAACCATAAGTCCTATACATCCAAAATTAACCTCCTAAATTAAAAATCCAAATTCACACCAAAATCATTTAATTTCCAACAATTTCCAATATTCTCCTTACTTGTACATACAAAAAAATACCTGAATATTTTTAACAACAGAAAGTTTAAATAATAAAACAATTTAAAGCAAGACAAAACGAATGTTATAATTATATAAATATACTCACGGAAGAACGACTTCAATAAAGCGTATTACACAACGTTTCTGTCTCAGATCGTCTTATCTTCACGTAAGCAAAAGTTATAGCACATTTTAATTTCTGTTGGCATCGTGCACACAGTGAAGCAACGTATAAACACAGAATCAAGATTCATACAAACAGAGTAATTTTCTTACGGTTTCTTATTACTGCAATACGATACTGTTCGTCTGTACTCGTTCACCTGCTGATTTGGTTGTTGCAGTAATTGAAAGTATAATTAACATGTTTAAAACATATCACGAGACGCTCAAGAATGTATATCTATCTTAACGAGCTCCTATTTCTTGATTATTCGCAATTGAAGTCGAATAACTGTTGGTTGAAAATATTGCATAATAGTGCAGAGATCAGGATGTTCTGAAAAAGATGATTCCGTTTGACGTTAATTACGAAATAATAGTGATACGAGGCTAAAATTTATTGTCGAACAATGTGCTAATTTCTGTCGCTGTTTAGCTGAAAAATACACCGTGTCTCAAATATACTTTATTTCATAAATTTAGGAGGACCTGTAAAATAAATTATATTGCTGGAATACATCGTCCATATTGTTCAACATCTTTAGAACTAAAAATGAAAAATATTTAAACACCTAAAGAAAATCTGACATCCAAACTGCATCATGTTTCATCCCTTTCAGAATAAACCTGAATAAACCTACCTTTCAGAATAAATAATCAAGAGACCCATCTGTCAGGCCATGATGGATGATCCCATCCCTTTATTCAAATCCTTAAACAATGACTTTCCATTAAATTTATTTTCTCAAGCTAATATGAATTGGTTGTTAAAACAACCAAACTGCTATATAACATATTTAATTATCATTAAAAAGTTTTTGTTTAATTGTAACAGTGTGGCAGCGGTGGAGGATCGACGGAAGGCGTCGTCGGGAGCGTCAGTGGTAGCGGCAGCGGTGGTAACAGCAGCAGCGGCGGTGGCATGGATTGCATGCCCCTACGTCCCGGTCCTTTCCACTACCTGATAAGCGAGCAGGCAAAGTCCCTAGTGGCCCTGCAGGAGCTGCAGAATGAGGTCGGCGCCCTTCTCGAGTTCCGGGACCTCGTCATCGAGACGTTCCCAAACCTCCGGCACAAGATGGCCGCGACGGCGTCCGCGGGAGCGTCCGTGATGTCGTCCTCCTGCGCGCAGAATTCGCACATCCCTCTACCACTATCCAGCCCGTCATCTCGGAGGATCAACGATAATTATATAAATATACTCACGGAAGAACGACTTCAATAAAGCGTATTACACAACGTTTCTGTCTCAGATCGTCTTATCTTCACGTAAGCAAAAGTTATAGCACATTTTAATTTCTGTTGGCATCGTGCACACAGTGAAGCAACGTATAAACACAGAATCAAGATTCATACAAACAGAGTAATTTTCTTACGGTTTCTTATTACTGCAATACGATACTGTTCGTCTGTACTCGTTCACCTGCTGATTTGGTTGTTGCAGTAATTGAAAGTATAATTAACATGTTTAAAACATATCACGAGACGCTCAAGAATGTATATCTATCTTAACGAGCTCCTATTTCTTGATTATTCGCAATTGAAGTCGAATAACTGTTGGTTGAAAATATTGCATAATAGTGCAGAGATCAGGATGTTCTGAAAAAGATGATTCCGTTTGACGTTAATTACGAAATAATAGTGATACGAGGCTAAAATTTATTGTCGAACAATGTGCTAATTTCTGTCGCTGTTTAGCTGAAAAATACACCGTGTCTCAAATATACTTTATTTCATAAATTTAGGAGGACCTGTAAAATAAATTATATTGCTGGAATACATCGTCCATATTGTTCAACATCTTTAGAACTAAAAATGAAAAATATTTAAACACCTAAAGAAAATCTGACATCCAAACTGCATCATGTTTCATCCCTTTCAGAATAAACCTGAATAAACCTACCTTTCAGAATAAATAATCAAGAGACCCATCTGTCAGGCCATGATGGATGATCCCATCCCTTTATTCAAATCCTTAAACAATGACTTTCCATTAAATTTATTTTCTCAAGCTAATATGAATTGGTTGTTAAAACAACCAAACTGCTATATAACATATTTAATTATCATTAAAAAGTTTTTGTTTAATTGTAACAGTGTGGCAGCGGTGGAGGATCGACGGAAGGCGTCGTCGGGAGCGTCAGTGGTAGCGGCAGCGGTGGTAACAGCAGCAGCGGCGGTGGCATGGATTGCATGCCCCTACGTCCCGGTCCTTTCCACTACCTGATAAGCGAGCAGGCAAAGTCCCTAGTGGCCCTGCAGGAGCTGCAGAATGAGGTCGGCGCCCTTCTCGAGTTCCGGGACCTCGTCATCGAGACGTTCCCAAACCTCCGGCACAAGATGGCCGCGACGGCGTCCGCGGGAGCGTCCGTGATGTCGTCCTCCTGCGCGCAGAATTCGCACATCCCTCTACCACTATCCAGCCCGTCATCTCGGAGGATCAACGAATGGGAGCCGGGGAAGGTTCGGAGACGAGTGCCTCGCGAGGGTGGCGAGTCGTCGTCGTCCTCTTTACCGAGGAGTCGTAGCAACTCGCACAGCGGTGGCACGAAGAACAACTGCAGCGCCACGGTGCAGGACTCTGGGTTCAGCACGGAAACATCGTCGAAGGACAGCGCCTCGACGGCTATAGCACCTAGACCGAACAGTCCGAGACCCACCGTGCTGGACGAGGCGGAGGATGAGTTGTGGAACCTTCTGGACGTGATACATCGCAAGGGAATCAGGCTTAGAGAGGAGGTGGAGTGTCTGCAGGGTCGCTTGGAGAGCGTGGCGCCCGAGGACCTTGCCTCCACGGACATCTTGGACGCGGTGAGGAAGGTCACGCATTTGGAGGACGAGAGGACGACGGTGAAGGAGGACGTTAAAGACGAGACGGATAGAGACTCGCAGGTGATAGCGCTCAGAAGGGAGAAGGAACAACTTTTGGATAAGGTAGCTGAACTCGAGGCGGAAACTATATCCAGTCGGGCCAAGGCGCAGGAGCTTCAGTCGGAGGTGGCCGCGTTGTCCGCGCTGAAGACTGGTCTGGAGGATCGACTGAGGGCTGGACTGAACGATACTTCCTCGGATATCCTCGCACCGGGTGCACAAAGACTGCAACCAATCGCACCCGTCGTTTCCTCGCCGAAGAGTAATAATGTTAGCAACATTAAGAGCAAGTCCTCGGCGTTTGCCTCGGTGGCCAGCTCCGGGAAGGCTCACAAGAGCAGATTTCGGACGAGGACCATCGAGAAGAATGTTCTGTTGGATGTGAACGCTCATAACGAGGAGCTGAGGGATGTCGATGTCGAGGCGAGCGTGAACGAGAGGAGAGCACGATTGGGCGCGTTGGATTCCGTCCTTGGATCACCCGCCAGAGTGGCGCACGTTAAGGACGTCGACTCGAAGAAGATCGCTGCTATTCTTCGAGAAAACTCACCTATTGAGCTGCAGCGGCATTTAATCACTACTACCGTCCATAATCAGGTAATCATCGAATTTTTTTTGAGAAAATTGCTCTGAAGTAATGTAATTTCAAGTGTTCGTTCAATACGTTCGCTGTGGATGCAGAGGGTTTAGCGATATGTGTGTAGGGATCCACATTGTGCTTAATATTATGAACTTGTACTGTTAATCCTTTGCTAATTATACCTGAATACAATTATTAATAATGAATTATTATTAGTAATATTATTTTTATTACCAGATAGTCTTCAGTACTCAGCGAACGTGTTGCATCCTGTACACTATGCACAATTTGATCAAATATGTAAATGAGACATCAAAATGATGTAAATGAGAGATTTCCTGCATGTTTATTTTTTAATAGAACAGTCTTATTCTGTACAATGTTAATGAAGGTTTTCAATGATTTACCGATGAATTGCAGGTCCTACAGAAAAGGTTAGATGAAGTAGAAAAAAGCACAGAAACTCTGTCGGAACGATTAGACAAGGCACGCGAGGAGAATGATGACCTACGTTTCCAGGTAATATATTAAGACATACATGTCATTTTAATCACGCATCTATTAAGCACTCTTATAGGATCCTCTCAAGAATAATTAGTCGAGACATCAGTGATATGGAAAATTACTTCTCTAATTACGAGTTGTGTTAGAAAAATATTTGCTATCGTGGATTTATTACGTGTATCAGTAATTTATGTATACACGAATGACACGTGTGAATTTTGCATTCAATATTTTTGAGTTTTATAAATTTTAAAAGGTTAAAATTTAACCTTCTAAATCCTTATTCAAGAGAAATTTTGTTTAAAAACTTAGATTAAAACAGAGTTAATAATTATTCAAAATTAAGGCGATCTCGTTTCAATCAACTTAACTGAAAGTTCAAACTCTCTTACTGTCAAGATTTAAATTTTTCAATTGCAGGAAATTTTGTAAATATTCAAATAACTTTAGTTTAAATATTATTATACTTCTTGGCGTAGGAGGTCGCCCAACGATGGCCGAATATGAATCTAACCTAACCCATAACCCATTGATTTTTCTTAGGGCGTCTACCAAACCGAGCGATCATTATCACTCACGTTACTTGCCACTCAAAACCCCATAAAAATTATTTCAAAATTGTTAGTAACATATCCGATTATCGAAATTAGAGAAAACCCTATTCTGAATACAAATTAACAGTTTTATTTTCAATTTGCAATATACTTTTTCATTGGACTTTCAATGAACCAATATCTTTTAGAATTTTTCAAAAAATCTATTTGAACTACGTGGACCAAGTTAACATGACTATGCTCATAAAACTTTTATTGATGATCTCAAATCTTAGGTGTTAATTTATTGTCATTAGCCATAATACATAATCGTTTAGGAATCCATATGAATATTGAAATTCCATTGCAAATTTTAGCTCGAAGAAAGGAATATCGAGCTGGAAGGCACCCGAGCACGTGTCCGCGTGTTGGAAAGACTTCAGCAGCGTCCGCCGACCGAAGGTGATCCAGAGGTGGACACTGAGCAGCCAAGATGCGAGCAGAGCGGTCTCGAGCCAGGAAGTAGCACGGAATCGGCTCGCGATCATCATCAAGCAGTCGAGGTGAAACCGTCGCCCCGACGGCGTCCTAGTCGTATACCTTTGCCGGGTGCCACCGCGAAGTCGACGGCACCCAGG